GAGAGTTAAGAGCAGTCAGCCTGACTTACCAATCTCATAAAATGGCAGAGAATAGTCTCTTTGGTAAGTGGTTTCTTTATACCATGGTTCGGCAGGCTTTGAATGTCTTCGAAAACAAATATAGCGAACGAGTGTCTGTTGGTCTAATTGCGGCTGATAGTGATATTTTCTCTTGGGTGGAATTGTCAAGTCTATGAGCGGTCTAAATGGAAACAGAAACAGTTTGCTGAAAACCCGATAGAAAAAAGCAATCCATTTTCTCATCAGCTGAAATCCATTCTCTGGACGTGGCCATGGGCTAACAAGAGAGTATTGACAAGACTCCCACAGCTCTGAGAGCAGCCCTGGCAAAGCTTCAGTAGATAGCTCAGGGACTTCTGCTCCTGTTCTTCCCTTTAGCCTCCCTCCTCCTCTCCAGTCACGGGTCCTAGGAGGTGATGTGCATCACACCCTCCACTAGATCCACCCATGTGCAGCCACTTCCCACATTCCAGAGGTCCCGGTGCCTGTTCCCTGTGTAACTGTTCTGTGGATGTTTGGTCGCTTTGAGGAACCAGTGCAGGGCTGATGTGGTGGCTCACGTCTGTAATCTCAGCATTTTTGGAGGCTGAGGAGGGGCAGATTGCTTAAACTCAGGAGTTCAAGGCCAGCCTGGGCAACATGGCAAAACCCTGTCTCTACAAAATAATACAAAAATTAGCTGGGTGTGGTGGCATGCACCTGTGGTCCTAGCTACTAGAGAGGCTTAGGTGGGAGGATCCCTTGAGCCCAGGAGGCAGAGGTTACAGTGAGCAGAGATCAAGCCTGGGTAACAGAGCAAGACCCTGTCTCAAAGACAAAACAAAAAAAGAATCCAGTACATCTGGTTATCTGGTTAGGGTTAGACTAGCCACTGCGCGCCTCTTGGGGTCTGACAGACCTAAAATCAGTTATAACCTTCCTGGACCCCTACTCAAATAGATATCCCCTGGGAAAGAAAAGCAGACAGCCAAAATGTAGTGGCAAAATATCGCTTGTGGCAGCATCCTTTCACTGGCACAGCTCTGGTGATATATACTAAAACCTTGAAAATGTGCACATATTTTGTCCCGGCAATTAGACGTCAACAAAGACTTAGCTCTAAGAATGCGTGTGAAAGTCTTTTTTTTTTTTGAGACGGAGTTTCGCTCTTGTTACCCAGGCTGGAAGTGCAATGGCGCAGTCTCGGCTCACCGCAACCTCCGCCTCCTGGGTTCAGGCAATTCTCCTGCCTCAGCCTCCTGAGTAGCTGGGATTACAGGCACGCGCCACCATGCCCAGCTAATTTTTTGTATTTTTAGTAGAGACGGGGTTTCACCATGTTGACCAGGATGGTCTCGATCTCTTGACCTCGTGATCCACCCGCCTCGGCCTCCCAAAGTGCTGGGATTACAGGCGCGAGCCACTGTGATAATAAAAGAGTGGGGACAGCTTTCCTGTAAAAAAAAAACAGGAAATTATTTAGACAGTGACACAGAAATATGTGAGGACACCATGCCACCATCAAAAGCGATGCCGTACAGCCGGGCGCGGTGGCCCACACCTGTAATCCCAGCGCTTTGGGAGGCTGAGACTGGCGATCACCTGAGGTCAGGGGTTCAAAACCAGCCTGGCCAATATAGTGAAACCCATCTCTACTAAAAATACAAAAGTTAGCCGGGCGTGGTGGTGGACGCCTGTTAATCCCAGCTACTTGAGAGTCTGAGGCAGGAGAATCGCTTGAACCCAGGAGGTGGAGGTTGCGGTGAGCTGACATCATGCCATTGCACTCCAGCCTGGGCGACAGAGCGAGACTCCATCTAAAAAAAAAAAAGGATGTTGTAGGATTATAATTTTTGAAATGGAAAAAAGTCCACAATACGTTATTAGGTTTAAACAAAGGTTTCAATTGAATTATGCACTGAATTGAATTAAATTACATTCATTTCAATTGAATTAAATGGATGAATTGTATGGCATGTGAATTATCTCAGTGCAGCTGTTACCAAAAATAAAAAGGTTTTGAAACACCCATCCCATCCTATTTTGGATGATTCTGCATGATTATCTCTGGGGATGATGTTGTGGATAATTTTCAAGCATTTCATTTTTTATTGTGAATGTTTTCTGAATGTTCTCATAAACCGTTATGTTTTTAAACTATAAAATAGATGAGATGAGTTGCTGCTGACATGAAAAATATTAAGTGTTGGCTGAGATTTAGGAACATCTAAATCTAACTGGGGTGAGTAGCCTTATGTGAGTGTATCGCTGTGAACGAATCGCACTTAAAGAGGTGACCAAGGCTGTTTACCCATCAGTTGTGCTTGCCTGATCTGGTGACCTTGATTGTGACGTGGCTTCTTTAAGAAAGAGTGTGTTAGCAAAAATGGAGTGGCTCTGCCTGACGTTCAGAAAAAGCAAGGGCAAAATGCAGCCATGCTCGTGGGGTAGTGAACGGGGAGAGATGCTGGACGACTGGAAGGGTGCTCTGTGTGGATGGGCCTAAAGAATCATCGAGAACACCCACCCACCTCTTCTTGTTCTGATTTCATGCTTAACAGGTATCTGACCTTGTAAAGCAGATGCCTTAAATGATGGGTGAGCGTGCTCCTTTTCCTACAGAAGAATGTCTCCCACTGTCCATCAAACATTAATGGTCTGGGGAATGCATCAGTTTCTTGTGAGTCTGGATTCTGTGTGACCAGAATCCACTACCAGTCTAGTAACTTCTGTGTCACTGATGGCTCTGACTGCTGAACCAGGCCCTGGTGACTATTCCTAGATGGCCTCTGCTGGACTGCCAGCATGCCTCTACCTCTGCGTGTTTCTCCAGCAGCAGAATATTCTCCCTTTTCATGTAATCTATCACTGCTCTTCTGAAGACAAGACTTTCACTCAAACGAAGGACTCTGCTACTGAAGGATGTCAAGTTGGTGGAGGAATGTGTCTGGGGAAGGCAAGCCGTTACACATACCTATCAAGTTACACCATGACTGCAATAGCTGGACTTAGGACTGGTCCTGACAATGTCATTATTTCCTAGTTTTTGTTTTGTTTTGCTTGTCTTCTTTTTTCTTGCTGTTCTTAACTAGAAGCTCGATGAGCTCATAGACTGACATCTGCATTGAGTTTGCCACTTAAGGCTAATCTTGGGCAGGCACAAGTCTCGTCAGAGTCAAGGTTCCCTTTAGCTGAGCCATCCTCCAGTCGGACTGATATTTGGGTGTCGGGCAGAGGTGGCAGTGGTAAGTGGACGAGGGCGATTATCAGAGTTCACACAACATGGGGGTGTTCTGTGGAGTTGGTCCATGAGCAGCTCTGGCAGTGGGGTTCTGTCATTTCCTGTCTATCCTCTGGCAGAAAACATAGCCCTAATAGTTTAATACAGTATGGATTTGAGTTAGAACAAAGAGTTTTGAACTGGGAACCAGAAAATGAAAATAGATGCAAGCCCAACTTTTTTTTTTGAGACAGTCTCACTATGTTGCCCAGGCTGGAGTGTAATGGCACGATCTCGGCTTACTGCAACCTCCACCTCCTAGGTTCAAGCAACTCTCCTGCCTCAGCCTTCTGAGAAGCTGGGATTACAGGTTCACCCCACCATGGCTGGATAATTTTTGTATTTTTAGTAGAGACGGGGTTTCACCATGTTGGCCAGGCTGGTCTGGAACTCCTGACCACATGATCTGCCCACCTCAGCCTCCCAAAGCGCTGGGATTACAGGCGTGAGTCACCGCACCCAGCCCTTCAAGCCCAACTTTTATACCAACTAACTGGGTGACCTCAGGTCAGACATGTCACTTCCCTGAGCTACATTTCATTCATCTAATTAAACCAGAATGGCCCTTAAAGCTACTTCTTGTTTGATCATCGATTACATTTAGACTCTGCTGTTTGAAGCCACGCAGGCCACGGCCGCCTTCTCCTTGCATGGAGTATAACTGGGACTGACTATGTCATAGACAATTTAGAGAAACGTGCAATATGTACTAGATGTGGAATCCAGTGACAGCAATCGTATGTTGAGTGCTTACAATGTCCTGCAATATTACACCAGTTATTTTATTTAATAGATAAGGCGACTGATACTTGGAGAAGAAATGAAAATGGCCCAAAGCCAAACACTTCTTAACTTATCCTACTTGCTGCTTCTAACCCCTGTGGTTTCCAGCCTTTTCTAACTAGAAAATGAGGTCAAAGCGCCTGTGGTTTTCGTTTTTTGTTTTTCTTTTTGTTAAAGTCACACCTAGAAAGGCAGAAACCATTTAGGCTAAATTCATAATTTGACTGAGAAAGAAACTGGGAAACTTGTCCCCAGTTCCTGGCACTGAGTGCCTAAAATTTAAGTTACTTGACTAAGTTAAAACGTTCTTGGTGTTTCTTAAATGTCTTTGAAGAGTTAATGAAATGCTGTATTTATTGCTGCTTGTAGAAGTAATATATGCTCATTAGAGAAACTCTAGAAAATAGAAATATTTTAAAATAAAGCATAAGCTGGTTGGGGTGGCTAATGCCTGTAATCCCAGCACTTTGGGAGGCCCAGGTGGACAGATCACTTGAGGCCAGGAGTTAGAGACCAGCCTGGCCAACATGATGAAACCCTGTCTCTACTAAAAACACAAAAATAATAGCTGGGTGTGATGGCGTGCGTCTGTAGTCTCAGCTACTTGCGAGGCTGAGGCAGGAGAATTGCTCGAACTGGGAGATGAAGGTGGCAGCAAGCCAAGATCATGCCCCTGCATCCAGCCTGGGTGATAGCGTGAGACCTTGTCTCAAAAAAATAAAAAATAAAATATAAAATAAGAATAATATCACTACTTAGTAAAAAAAACACATTAACGGTTTGGTTTATTTCCTTTCAAACCTCTTCTATCCATTAAGTAATACTTGTTTTTGCTATTATCAATATTATGAGGAGTTGTGTGTCTTCCACCCACCTCTCTTTATCATTGTAACTTGAGCGACATTTTTGGAAATTGAGATTGCAGAGAGTGTCTCACCTGGGAGCTTTCTTTGCACTATCATCAAAATGCAGTCTTGCCAGCTGCCCAGGGTAATAGCCTTGCAGGTCTCTTCCTTGGTGAGCAATGAATATACTAGAGCAGAAAGTGAGAAGAAAGCCATTCTGACCATTAGTTCATTCCAGGAGAATGTCAGCTGTGGATAATACAAAACATATTTGGTCTTTGTCCCCAGTTCCTGGCACTGAGCCCCTAAAACCCATGGAATTTCTTGATAAGAGTCTTTTTTCAAGTTTATGGTCCTTGCAGGCCCCCCTCCTCCCACCACAACCTCCCGCATCTGTAATAAAATGTTATTTGTGTTCAGGATTCATAAGGAAATATTGAACATATCAGGTATCAGGTTCAAAATATGAGGGATAAAAGAAACAGGTGGATATATAAAACCAGTGGGTGGGCAAGCATGTTTCTGGAATAAAATAAAATGAAATGAAAAGAAAACAATAAAAAATAAATTAAGTAAATAAAACCAGTGGGGCAAATGTTGGTAACAGTTGAAATGTGGGAATGGGGCTGGGCACAGTGGCTCACACCTGTAATCACAGCACCTTGGGAGGCCGAGGTGGGTGGACCACTTGGGGTCAGGAGTTCGAGACCAACCTGGCCAACATGGTGAAACCCCGTCTCTATTAAATATACAAAAAATTAGCTGGACGGGGTGGCACGTGCCTTAATCCTTGAACTCCAGAGGCAGAGGTTGCAGTGAGCCAAGATTGTGCCATTGCATTCTAGCCTGGGCAACAATGCAAGACTCTGTCTCAAAAAAAAAAAAGAGAGAAACATGAGAATCAGTAAATGGAGGACTCTGGAAAAAATATATGATAATAATAATAATAAAAGAAATGTGGGAATTGGTAGTGGAGACTCATTATACTTTTTTTTTCTACTTTTGATGTTTACAAAATTTCATTTTTTAAAAAACTGTAACAACTAAGTCTGTAAAGACGAAACGTGAAGCAGCACAGCGATCGCAAGGCACCGGGCGCCTGTAGGCCTGGGAGGGAGACTCAGCCCTGTCTAGAGGCTGAAGGCTGAGGATTTTTGGGAGCGCCAGTGTGAGCTAACACGTGGAGACTGGGCGACAGTACTTCTGTGGGGTGAACGTGAGAGAGGGCGGTACAAGTGAAATACGAAGGGGCTGGGAGAGACCGGGCTGGAGGGGAATGGTGCTCAGATTTTATGCTTTCAAATACATCTCACTTTATTTTACTTATTCATTTTGAGACGGAGTCTCATTCTGTTGCCCAGACTGGAGTGTAGTGGCCCAATCTCGGCTCACTGCAACCTCTGCCTCCTGAGTTGAAGCGATTTTCCTGCCTCAGCCTCCCAAGTAGCTGGGATTACAGGTGCCTGCCACCACGCCTGGCTAATTTTTGTATTTTTAGTAGAGATGGGGTTTTCCCATGTTGGCCAGGATGGTCTCTAACTCCTGGCCTCAAGTGATCTGCCTGCCTTGGCCTCCCAAAGTGCTAGGATTACAGGCGTGAGCCGCTGCTCCCAGCAAGAAATACATCTCATTTTATAGTACATTGCTTTTCCTTTTATATTATAGTTACAAAACTGTAATGAGATAGGTTGGTGCAAATGTAATTGTGGTTTTTGCCATTACTTTCAATGGATGTTACTTTCAATGGCAAAAACTGCAATTACTTTTGTACCAACCTAATATTCTTTAACTTTTATATAGTTGGTTTATATCGTTTACAGATTTTATTTCAGAAGAATAGCAGAGATATTACAAAGTATCTGTTATTTAAAAAGGGGCATTATATCTGAAAGTTTGAGACCTACTGATGGAGGGGATAGGGACTCTGTGAGGTCTGGTGTTTTGTTTGCTTTTGAAGATGGAGTCTCACTCTGTTGCCCAGGCTGTAGTGAAGTGGTGTGATCATAGCTCACTGCAGCCTCTAACTCCTGGGCTCAAGAGATCCTCCTGTCTCAGCCCCTTAGTGGCTGGCAGATAATACAGGCATCTACATATATGCCAGGCATATGACTTATGTATGTTGCCCAGTCTACTTTGTGAGATTTTTTAACAAGATTCATGACACGATGTAGAAAGATCTTCTCTGATGGCAATGTGGAAAACAATTTTTTTTTTTTTTAAGACAGGGTCTCACTATGTTGCCTAGGCTGGTCTGGAACTCCTGGGCTTAAGTAATCCTCCTACGTTGACCTCCCAAAGTGCTGGGATTGCAGGTGAGAGCCACCTCACCTAGCCAGAAAACAAATTTGAAGACCATGTGACTAAAATCAGAAAGACTGTTTAGGAAGTGATTGAAGCGCTTTATGTGGGACATGACAAAGCTCTGATATGATGGAAATGTGGAAGAAGAGGATGGGGCTGGTTGGGGATGTTTTAGGAGACAGGATGGAGGGTGAAAGAGAGGGAAGAGTCCAAGACAAAGCTGCATCTTCAGGCATGGGAAAGAATCCTGCCTGTCCCCAAGAGAGGGGACACAGCAAGTCTCCATCGTTGGGAAGATGACTTTATTGAGTTTGTGATGCCTGGACATGTGGGGTCTTTTTGGACCTCCCACAGATTCTGAGCAGTCAGTAGATGCCATAAAATTTCAGTCAGGGGCCAGGCACAGTGGCTCATGCCTGTAATCCCAGCACTTTGGGAAGCTGAGGTGGGCAGATCACGAGATCAGGAGATTGAAACCATCCTGGCTAACACATTGAAATCCTGTCTCTACTAAAAATACAAAAAATTAGCTGGGCGTGGTGGCACGTGCCTGTAATCCCAGCTACTCAGGAGGCTGAAGCAGGAGAATCGCTTGAACCCAGGAGACGTAAGTTGCAGTGAGCTGAGATCACACCACTGCACTCCAGCCTAGTGACAGAGTGAGACTCTGTCTCAAAAAAAAAAACCAAAAAACAAAAAAATCAGAGTCAGTAGAAAGCAGCACGTAGTTTTGGAGAAAGCATCTCGCTAACTATGTGTTAGATGATGGATAAAAACTGAAACTATGCCTTCGGTTCAACTCAACCACCCTTTATCGAATGCACACAAAATGCCCTGCGCTATGCTAGGCTCTGCAGAGACAAAGCTGACTAAGAAGCAGTACCTGTTCTCAAAAAGCTTGTCACATGCTGAAATATAAAGGGTCTACGGGACACAGAAGACGAAGGAGTATGCAGGATTTGGACGAGCAAAGGGGATGGGGGAGAGATTCCAGGGAAAGGAAATTATAGAGGCCAAGACTTGGGACAGAGTTGGGATCTGAGCGAAGTGTATACATTGGGATCAGAGCGGGCCTGTCTAGTGTGAAGAGCGAGCGCTGAGCCGGGCGACTTCTGTTTCTGTCTGTGCAAAGAGGACCTCCGGGTGGCCTGATTTGCAGAAAACCCACAGGCTGTCTGGGCTTGCCCAGTGGCTGGGGTAACATGACTGAGCCCTGGATGGTAAATAACAACAGGGGATTAAGTCATAAGAAGAGAGAGAAATTGGCACCATAAAGGGAACAAATGACATTTCTGGATGCAGGGGTGTGGGACACATCACTTTCTTGGGCACTTAGTCATTTTCTGAAGCACCACCTTGGAATATTACCAAAGGTGGCCCTGGGGCCACTTTACACTTTAAGAATCCACTGTAGTTGCTAAAGGACTGGTTTCTTTCTTTCTTTCTTTCTTTCTTTTTTTTTTGGAGACGAAGTCTTGCTCCTATGCCCCAGGCTGGAGTGCGATGGTGCGATCTCAGTTCACTACAACCTCTGCCTCCCGGGTTCAAGCGATTCTCCTGCCTTAGCCTCCAAGTAGCTGGGATTACAGGCGCGCCACCACGCCCAGCTAAATTTTGTATTTTTAGTACAGACAGGGTTTCATCATGTTGGCCAGGCTGGTCTCGAACTCCTGACCTTTGTGATCCACGTGGCTCTGCCTCCCAAAGTGTTGGGATTACAGACGTGAGCCACTGCACCTGGCTTGGGGACACTGGTTTCTATAGTTGCTAGGCTGTCGGGGGTGGGCTGGGTTTTGACCATGGCATGCATACAAAGGCTGCTGAATACAGATGAGTAAATTCAGCACTGCTCCTTAGAAGCAGTCAGTAAAAGCCGATTTGAGGATAAAGAATCCGTACACCAGCCCCAAGTAATTAATACTCCCTGACTTGGCCCTTTGGAAGTGTCTCTTGGCAGGTTTTGGGAGGAGTGAAGAGAAAAATGGGAAGGTGTGTGTTAGGAAATGTGTGTGGAGGGAGGTCTGACTGGGTGGAGAAGAGAGTTTTTGCCTCCAAAGGGGAAATGGCTAGCCAGGCCAGAGGCTGTGCATCTCCTAGCCTCAGAATGATTGTGAAAGCACGTGGCTGTGGAGCCCCGCCCCAGGGTTCTGCTCAGAGTGATTCTGTTGACCTGGCTGTAGAAAGCCCTTTCCTTCTCACTGGGCGGGTACAGGCCCTGTGCATTATTTCCAGTCCCTGATGGCTTGGCTCTTTGAGGTGAGGTGTTCAGTTCACATGAGAGAAAGCCTGTCCCCTGGGAGGGTGACTATAACTGGAGCAGGCTCTGGTTTATCCCCAGTCAAAATTCAACATGCATAGGAGAGGCCAGGGGTGTCCATCCCTCCACAGCCTGGTCCCACAGCCCCAGGTACCTTATGTTCCTATGACTGCACTCTTCTGGGTGATGGCCCTACTGGGCCTCGTGCTCTACAGAGTATTTTCACAGAAATGATCTCACTTCATCCTCACAGTCACCTTGCAAGGTAAACATGATTAACTCTCTGCTGTATAAGAATAGGCCAAGTCTCAGACAGGTTAAGTGGACTTTTAAAATAGTAAAGTCCATTTAAACGAGTACTTGCCAGAGCTGTGACTCAAATCCAGTTTTCTAAGCTCCATGTCGCATTCTGCTACCCATAATATGTGTGATATATTTTTTTTTTTTTAGACAGAGTCTTGCTCTGCTGCTCAGGCTGGAGTGCAGCGGTGGGATCTCGGTTCACTGCAGCCTCTGCCTCCTGGGCTCAAGTGATCCTCCTGCCTTAGCTTCCTGAGTAGCTGGGATTACAGGTACATGTCACCATGCCCAGCTAATTTTTGTATTTTTAGTAGAGATAGAGTTTCACCATGTTGGCCAGGCTGGTCTTGAACTCCTGACCTCAATTGATCCACCCACCTTGGCCTCCCAAAGTGCTGGGATTACAGGCGTGAGCCCCCACACCCAGCCTTAAAAGAAAATTCTTAAGGTGTATTCAAAAAGGACACATCATCCGTTCACTCCTTCTGTAGTTTCTGGAAGTAAAAGGACTTCTCTTTTTTGACCAAACATGGCTAAAATAGCTCAATATTAAAATAAACATGAGGCCGGGTGTTGTAGCTCACACCTGTAATCCCAGCACTTTGAAGACCAGTGAGAGGACTGCTTGAGGCCAGGAGTTCCAGACAGACTGGGCAACATAGCGAGACCTGGTCTCTACAAAAAATTTAAAAATGAGCAGGCAGCTTGTAGTCCCAGCTCCTCAGGAGACTACGGCAGCAGGAAGATCAGTTAAATCCAGCAGTTTGAAGTTGGACCATGCTACAATCCCATCACCTCACTCCAGCCTGGGCAACACAGTGAGACCTTGTCTCTAATAAATAAGTAGGAATAAAATAAAATAAACATGAGGCTTGCTCAAAGCCACGAAGCCAATGGGGCTACAAGAGGCTGACCCCGAAATCACAGTGTGAAGTTGCCGTCGTGAGTTTTTAGCTTCTCTACTTCTGCAGACTCCATAGCAGGTGGTGAAGGGAGAGTGGAAGTAGGATTTCCAGATGGTCATCTGATATCACATTTAGCACAACAAAACATATCTAAGGCTTGTTATTCTTGTGCTATCGGTGACCTTGAAGAAAGAGTGAAACTGCTCCTTAGTTTCCATCTGTGCTGTCAGCTCCCATTGGGAAGAAGTACAGGAGCAATTTGTTTCGCCCCAAGCAGAGTAAATGGTCCAATCCAAAATGTGGGCTTGGGTCCCTCAGACTTCTTACTAAAGCCCTTCCCAAGCAAAAACCAATATCCTTTTGATCTTTTAGGAATTTGGAGTTGCCTGTTTGCTTGGATCCTGCAATGAGTGTGAGGTTTCTTTTTCTTACAACTTTTCCAAAACCCAATGTAGACGCTAAAGCAATCCTATGTTGGATGCTAATTCACCATGTTGGTTTCTGATTAATCCCTTGTATTAGCCCGTTTTCATACTGCTATAAAGAAGTACTCGACACTGGGTAATTTATAAAGAAGTACTTGACACTGGGTAATTTATAAAGAAAAAGAGGTTTAATGGACTCACAGTTCCACATGGCTGGGGAGGCCTCACAATCACAGCAGTAGGCAAAGGAGGAACAAAGGCATGTTTTACATGGCGGCAGGCAAGAGAGCTTGTTCAGGGGAACTCCCACTTATGAAACCATCACATCTCGTGAGACTTATTCACTGTCACAAGAACAGCATGGGAAACCACCCCGCCCCATGATTCAGTTTCCTCCCACCAGATCCCTCCCATGACATGTGGGGATTATGGGAGCTACAATTCAAGATGAGATTTAGGTGGAAACACAGCCAAACCGTATCACCCCAGGCCTCTAAGATTTCCAGTTTCTCTATAGTTTCTGGTGTCAGAGCAGGTACTTACTGTTAAGTTCTGCACTTCAGCCAAACAGCATTGGTGTTATAGTACTTCAATTGTCCCACACATTGCTTCTGTATCACCCTTTACCTAGGGTATCATCTAAGCCCTGGCTCTCGGGCGTGATGGCACAGACATCCACAATCTCATCTCAGTGCCACCTGAGACACTACGTAGCTTCTGGTCCTAAGTCCCTGTTAAATATTTCTTTGTAAGAAGCTGGATTTGTCAGCCTCTTTCTTCGGCCTCTCAGCTTCCTCTGACTTTTGCCAGTAGGTTTGCATAAACATGCTCAACAGGGAACACCCAAAGAACTTCCCTAGACCTCCCTGGCAGTGACCTCTCAACCACTGAGCAGCAGGATGTGCGGTTCTAACTCCCCAGGGACCTGGCTGCCTGGCCACAGCCTTGAGGCTGTGCATCTGGAAGAATAATACCTTGGTGGGATGGCTCGGCGACGCTCAGTAAATTCTCGTAGTCGGATGGCAGTCATGATGGATGGGAATCTGAAAAAAAAATGGATAAAGGATCATATTGCCAGTTTTCACATAGTTCCACGGGTGAGCACTCTAGTACCACAAAGCCCATCTTGAAAGAAATCAGTAAAAAAGTTGACATAGTAGAAAAACTGTGGCTATGGACTATTTAGGGAGGAAATACAAGGTTAGCAAAGGAGCAAAAAGAAATGGCAAGCGTAAGGCAAATACACACAGATGTGCTTTTCTTTTCTTTTTAGAGAAGGAGTTTCGCTCTGTCACCCAGAATACAGTGGCAAAATCTTTGCTTATTGTAACCTCTGCCTCCTGGGCCCAAGCAATTCTCCTGCCTCAGCCTCCTGAGTAGCTGGGATTACAGGTGCACGGCACCCCACCCAGCAAGTTTTTGTATTTTTAGTAGAGATGGGGTTTCACCATGTTGGCCAGGCTGGTCTCGAACTCCTGACCTTGTGATCCACCTGCCTTGGCCTCCCAAAGTGCTGGGATTACAAGCCTGAGCCACCACATCTGGCCAGATATGCTTTTCTTTAAAAAGCAAAGGTAAAAAAAGGTTAATATAAATAAATAAGAAAATAAAAAGCAGAGGTCCTGTGCTGATGTTAGTTGGGTATAGTCTCCTGTCTCACTTCATTGTTTTTGTTTTTGTTTTAATCAGTTATGACCCAAGATCCTGTCTCATTTCCTTTTTTTTTTTTTGAGACGGAGTTTCGCTCTTGTTACCCAGGCTAGAGTGCAATGGCGCCATCTCGGCTCACCACAACCTCCACCTCCTGGGTTCAAGCAGTTCTCCTGCCTCAGCCTCCTGAGTAGCTGGGATTACAGGCATGTGCCACCATACCCAGCTAATTTTTTGTATTTTTAGTAGAGACGGGGTTTCACCATGTTGACCAGGATGGTCTCGATCTCTTGACCTCGTGATCCACCCGCCTCGGCCTCCCAAAGTACTGGGATTACAGGCATGAGCCACTGCACCTGGCCGATCCTGTCTCATTTCTTAGTGGGCCTTCCTACCTCACAAACTTGCAAGCAAAGCACTACATTTCCCAGAGTCCCTCACAACTAGAATTTTGGCTAGGAATGAGAGTCCCTCAATCAGCTGTACTTGTTAGGAATTGGAAGGTGGACACAGGGGAGAGGCTGCCGCCTTGATCTTCTCTACTGGCAGAGCAAGGTTGTGGAGATAGGGTGTTTTTCTGCAGCAGCTGCTGCAGTCAAGAAGTCAAGAAGCAATTGCCGTGAAGGCAGTGGCTGAACTCTGTCCCAGGGTTCAAATTCCTGCTTCCTGGGTGGCAGAGGCAGTGGCGTTGGGAGTAGGTTCTTGAACTCAATACTCCTGGAAGCGGCTTCCTGATCTGGACTGACATCGCTTTCCCAGTGATGGGTCAGTTTTGGGGAGATGTTCTAGATGCCTCCTGGGGCCCCACCCAGAGGCTGTTCCTCCAGCCCTTCTGAAGATGTTTTTAAAGACCTTCATTCTCTATGTTAACATTCTTTCTGTTTCCCATACTGACGGTAGACTAAACATACATGTTTCTAGTCTAAAATTTCTTTTCACATCTGTTTTTTTTTTTTTTTTTGAGACAGGATCTTGTTTTGTCACCCAGGCTGGAGTGCAGTGGCACAATCTTGGCTCACTGCAACCTCTGCCTCCCAGGTTCAAACAATTCTCCTGCTTCAGCCTCCTGAGTAGCTGAGACTATAGGCGCCTGCCACCATGCCCAGCTAATTTTTGGTAGAGTTGGGGTTTCACCATGTTGGCCAGGCTGGCTTCAAACTCCTGACCTCAGGTGATCCACCCACCCTGGCCTCCCAAAGTGCTGGGATTGCAAGCCTGAACCACCGCACCTGGCCCACATCTGATTATTTGCTGGAGAATGAGGCTTGCTACAAGCAAACTGCTACATTTAAATAATCCCATGAAGTGGTGAGACACCATCTCTACGAAAAATACAAAAAAAAAGAAGATTCACATGAAAAAGAGTAAACAATGGGAAGGGAAATTGAGTGGCTGGGGGACAAAGGCATGCTTTTTACCATTTACCTTAGGAATGTTGCGCTCTGCATATCTATTATGTATGCATAAAGACAGCTGGGCCTGTGGTTTGCACAAACATGGCTGGGGTATAGGGGGAGAACACTGGACTGAAACCCTTGTGGCCCGAGGCACGTCATTTTCCCACTCTGCGAGTTGATTACGGTAGCCCTCTGGAGGGTTAAATGGGGCAATGATGTGTGTGGGAGTGTTCTGTGCTCTTGAAAGCATCTCTGAGAAGGGAGAAATATGAGTTCCTATTGACAATCATGGATTACATATTAGGTAACATGCATTAACTCCCATTAGCTTCCCAGCAACCCTTCAGAGTCTATCTGCTTCCAAGAAAATTAAAGTACTGAGAAGTCAAGTAACTTGTACGAGGTTACCAAGGAACCAGGGTGGGAGCCGTCTGGCTGCAGAAAGACTTATTTTAACTCTTATTCTCTATCAAAACAATCACAGGGCACCCAGACCATCAGCCAAAACAAAACTAGGATTATTCAGTAACCAGGAGACAGAAAGGACTGGAAAAAAAAATGTGTCACGGCTCCTTCTTTTCCCTTTCATAGTCAACGGTTAACTCATTGCCTGCCGGCTGGCTAGCTGCTTTATTTCACCTGAGTGTGTTTTTCAAAGCAACTTGAAAGCTGATCACTGACTGTCTGATCTATTCAGCAAAGATTTATTAACCAACCACCTTTACCTGACGCTGCCAGGCACTCTAGAAAATGCGTTTAGCAAAAGATGCGTGATTTCGCTGTCATGTTGCTTAACAGTCTGGTGGAGGAGATAAAGTCAGATATTAATCATAGAGCCATACAAATATAAAATTAAAGCGCAGTTACTCCTAAAACAATCCTTTAGCACCAAGTTACCTCCCAGGCAGCTGGGTGGCTGGGCCCTTTCCTCTTTTAGAGGTCTAAAACATAGGCTCAAAGAGCAGATAAGTCACATTTGCTTCAGAAAACCTGCACATTTTCCCTGATATGAAACATCTGAAAAGCTTTTCTCCAGGAGAAGGACTTTCTGAAGACTTCATTGAAAAACGCTTTTTAAAATTGTCATCTGTTTTTATGGTAGGAAAGAATTTTAAACAGTGTTATTAAGTTAGGCCTGTAATCCCAACACTTTGGGAGGCCGAGGCGGGCGGCTCACTTGAGGTTAGGAGTTCAAGACTAATTTTCAGGCAGGAAAATCGCTTGAACCTGGAGGCAGAGGCTTCAGCAAGCCAAGATGATGCCACTGCACTCCAGCCTGGGCGACAGAGCGAGACTCCATCTCAAAAAAAAAATGTGTTAAACCAAAGTTTGGGTACTCCCAGTCCAATGTCCAGTGGAACTAGTAACAATTTCTTAGTAAATTTAATCAATGCATAGGCCCCAATTAAATGAAAACTACCAAGCTATTAATTAATCTGTCCAGAGAAGGGGCAGAGGAAGGCTATGAGTCAGGGTCCCAAGACTGACGTGATGTATCTCGTAAGACTTGGAAAATTCAGTGAGTCAATGGGAACGTGTGGAATAGTCAGGAAATGGCATTTTAACTGGTGAGTAAATTGTATCAGGTGATTTTCTGGATGCCTTTTATGAGGCCCCTTTCCTTGGAAGTGTTGCATCGGTGTTCATGAAATTAGAGGAAGTTCAACTCCTGGGGAAAGCCGTGCCCTAGTGATGGGAGGGTGCAGAGAAGGCATGAGTGAAGAGGTTCTCAGGACTGACGTGGCCCACCCTGGCCAGGTGCGTGACTACCGTTCTGGCTGCCTTCGAGCACGTGTGTGGTGAGAGGCTGCTTCGAAGTGGCTCGAGGTAACTGAGTGACTTTCACAGGCCACTGTTGCTTCTGTTTTCTCAGGCAGCCGGTTTTCCCAGTTCAGGAAGGTTGGTTCTCCTCTCCCCGGATTCTCACCAATTCTGTAGTGAATTCTGCCTGAATACTCTTTCCTTTCTCCTTCTCTAGTCTAAATTAAGCCCATTCTTCAGAGCCTTGTTCAAGTCCTGCAGAAGTTCTCTACAAGGCCTCTCTCCAGAGTTTTAAATGGCCCATTTCCCTCCTCTGAATTCCCAGAGCCCCTGGTAAATTCTACTCTGCATTTTGGTTTATTGGCTGCTGAATTAATTTATTCATTCTATTATTTAAGAAAAATTAGCTAACTCTCTGCCAGGCTTTGGATAAGGCTCTAGAAATTCTTCAAACAACAAGACATCTGGGTTTTTTTTTGTTGTTGTTTCTTGTTTTCTTAAATAGACACAAGGTCTCGCTATGTTGCCCAGGCTAGTCTCAAACTCCTGAGCTCAAGCAAGTCTCCCGCCTCGGCTTCCCAAAGTGTTGGGATTACCGGCGTGAGCCACCGCGCTTGGCCAAGACAGCAGTCTATACAGCGTTTTGTCTCTCCAGGTAAAATGTGAGCTCCTAGATGCTGGGGACCACTTTGTTTTGGTGGCCACTATCTTCGCTCTCTTTGTCCTTCTTCTGTCTCATTCTCTTGCAAAGGGTTTCCTATCCAAGGAGTGCCTGATGCAGGCTTCAGAATGAAAGAATAAATGAAAGAATCAGTCGCTCAGCTAACTCAATAACCTGTTAATCTAGTTAACAGTTTTTAAAACTTAGGTCTTCTTGTATCACAGAGAACCAGATATCTTAAGAAATATAGGTGCACCCATTTCTAAGGAAAAAAAAAGACATTGAGTTAAAGGTATTACAAGAATTCACAGTGAAGAGGGATGAGTGTTCACTTTCTAAAAGAAATGTTTGCTTTATCAATAGCCTTGCCATAACGTTTCTTTATGGTGTGAGTTCCTGTCTGTAAAATACTTGAAATGTAGTCAACCATTTAGTAATGCAGCCACTAAGTGAGGAGAGAGAGAGGTGCAGGCAGCAGCAACCACACCGCTCTTACCTGCCTTGGCTGCAGTGGGCAGAGACCTCCTTGTGCTTAAAAGCACCCCTCTGAGGACGGCGGTGATTACGGCTGCCTCCTGCTGCAGAGCCACACTGCAGCCTGGCAGAGGCTGATCCCTTTACATCATTCACAGGGTATTGTGATGCACATTGGCTTACAGAGCTAGGGAGAGTAGAGATCCTTTGGTCGCTAGGGAGAGTCCAGCTGCATGTGAAAGAAAGGGCAAAAATGAGCGTGAAAAGGAAAATCCTGGAGGCAAATAATCCCGGCTGTCTAATCCCCGGAGCTTTCTTTCTGTAAAGATTGTCCCAAGCACAACGTAAGGTGAAAATCTGGTGTCACACTGAGGAGTCCTGCCCTCTACAAGCTAGAACTGAGGAAGCGGTTTGGCACCAAGGGAAAGATGAGGCCAGCTCTGCCTGGTCCAAGACTAGATTAGGCTCCAAGCTGCTCCTCTGAAGGTATCAAAGGAAAATTTTGATTATTTAAAAATATGGTTCAAGGGCCGGGAGCGGTGGCTCAAGCCTGTAATCCCAGCACTTTGGGAGGCCGAGGCGGGTGGATCACGAGGTCAAGAGATCGAGACCATCCTGGTCAACATGGTGAAACCCCGTCTCTACTAAAAATTACAAAAAATTAGCTGGGCATGGTGGCGCGTGCCTGTAATCCCAGCTACTCAGGAGGCTGAGGCAGGAGAATTGCCTGAACCCAGTGGGCGGAGGTTGCGGTGAGCCGAGATTGCGCCATTGCACTCCAGCCTGGGTAACAAGAGCGAAACTCCGTCTCAAAAAAAAAAAAAAAAAAATATGGTTCAAACCAATCCATGGAGTATCACAGTAGCACCACTATACAGAACAGCAGGTCAAACCCCAGAAGAAGGAAGTGGCAAAAATATTTATTCTGACCAACCTCTGTCAAAACCAAGCCAAAACAAAACGCTGGCATTATGTACCGTGGGTTGCCCTGGAAACAGGGATACTTCTCAGTTAGATACGCTTTGCGAGTTAGAAAGTAAAACATTTCCATAAGGTTCCAGATGGCACATAGGAGAGACCAGGGGCTAGGCTGGGTTCCCGCTGGGAGCATAACCTACATGGGAGAGGCATAAAATAATGTAATAACAGAATCTTGGTGACACAGCATTTTGTTGAAAGCAGATAAGCTAGGGAAAACTTAAATGTATAAGAACAGAAGCAACAAACTGGACCCACACTAATAGAAATGATAAATTGGTTCTCATTTGTTGAGCAAGCACCTTCCCACACGCTGTTTCAGCTATTAGACATCTACCATCTAGAATCTCCACCACCTCCATGGAAGGAGACTCTCTATCGAAAACGAAGTGTTTCCATTTGAAATGAAGGCTGAGAGAAGCTAAGAAACTGGCCTAACAGTCATACACCCACGTTGTAATGAATCTACAAATTGAATCCAGTTTTTTGATGTCAAAGGCGTTTTAAGAATAATAGGCTGTGTTCTCCATTGAGGAGAAAAATGAACAAAAAAGTTCCCATGTTCTATGTAAGATATACCTGGTAATAGAAAAAAAGTACAAAGGAGAACGTTTAAAAATGAACACAGGCTGTGCGCAAGGGTCGTGCCAGTAATCCCAGCACTTTGGGAGACAGAGGTGGGTGGATCACTTGAGGTCGGGAATTCGAGACCAGCCTGACCGACATGGCTAAACCCCATCTCTACTAAAAATACAAAAACATTAGTCAGGCGTTGTGGTGTGCACCTGTAATCACAGCTACTCAGGAGGCTGGTGCAGGCGAATTGCTTGAACCCGGGAGGCAGAGGCTGCAGTGAGCCACCTCACACCATTGAGCGCCAGCCTAGGAGAAAGAACAAGACTCTGTCTCAAAAAAAAAAATAATAATAATAATTTTTAAAAATAGGAACGCAAATCTCACTAGTCAGATTATAAGCAAAATGCTTGTTCTTCGGTACTGCAAGGAAAAATGAAGATTCAGACAAAAAGTTTTCTCAGTAAGACAATTTTACTTTCTGCAGAAAGGGTTCTCTCTGTCAGCAATCTTGCTATGAAAGCACGATGAGCAAAGGAAAGGTGGCATATTTATTCTTTTTTTTTTTTGAGACGGAGTTTCGCTCTTGTTGCCCAGGCTGGAGTGCAATGGCACGATCTCGGCTCACCGCAACCTCCGCATCCTGGGTCCAGGCAATTCTCCTGCCTCAGCCTCCCGAGTAGCTGGGATTACAGGCACGCGCCACTGTGCCCAGCTAATTTTTTGTATTTTTAGTAGAGACGGGGTTTCACCATGTTGACCAGGATGGCCTCGATCTGTTGACCTCGTGATCCACCCGCCTCGGCCTCCCATGGGGCCCTCACTGCTGTGTCTGATCTCCATTGGTTGGAGCCAGACTTGCCAATCTAAACTGAACCTGATTGACTAACAACTTAAAACTTTTCTAAATAGGTAAAGGCAATGGAGAACAAAGGAAAAGAGGAAGTTGCTTGCGAAAGGACCTAGAAAAGTAATAACGTTCTTAAATAAGGAAGGGGCATAGGCTGCGAGCTGGGCCATGCCTGTGAGCACGTCTAGCACAAATATCTTGGTTAGAGAACAAGGACATAGACTGGACTATGTGCCTATGAGCACGTCTAGCACAAATATCTTGGTTAGAGAACAAGGACATAGACTGGACTATGTGCCTGTGAGCACGTCTAGCACAAATATCTTGGTTAGAGAACAAGGACATAGAATGGACTTACTCTTTTATATCTGACAGCTACACAGGACAGGGCTTAACAAAGAGTTATTAGCAAAAAGCGAGAAGGTGTTGAAGAAAGTCAGTCTTTAAAAGTCACTATTATTTCTAACATTTATTATTATTTAACAAGAAGGGACATGTTGAAGAGGAACCTTTTACTTTCCACAAGTCAGAAACTATTATTGTCCACAATTGGTGAATATCAGTTTAGATGTCATTCTAGAGAGATAAACGGATGGAGGTTAAGAGTGAGACAGCTTTATAGACAAATAATTTTAGAAAACTGGGATCATATTATGCATGCCATGTATATAAAATGTAAAAATATAATTTAAGTGCATTTCGAAACATTTAACTGAAGAGTCAAACCAAAATTATGTTAAGTCTACACAGTAGAAGAGATTCTGTGGACTCTCATCAGAGCTGCCTCTGAACAACAGGTGCTGCTTTTGCATAAAGATGTTCATTGATATAAATTTTGCCAAGCCTGTGCCATGCTTGGTGACATCTAACACATAGGCCTCCGTTCCCCTCGGCTTTAAAGTGTCCTCCACATCTCCCCCCGCGTTTTGTATATGGCAAGGTGGTGCTTCCTTAGATGAGTGGTATTGGGACTGTCCTGCAAAACGTGAACACATCACTATCGGTCCGTCTTTCCGCCATGTCGTATTGTCCTTTGACTCTCTCAAAAGGCAAAATGTTGCCAGTCCATGCTGGCCGCCGTCCAGGGAAGCCGCATCATCTTTTCTTATAATATATCCAACTCTTACCTTCATGTTTGGAAGCACATTTGTTAAATAACTGTTCCCCCGGATCCACCGTTAGTTCACTCTTTGGAAGTCATCTTCTGTCCACTTAGTCTCATATTTCCTTCTTGATGACGTCAGAGAGCTCGGTGACCTTCCTCATTGCATAGAACCTTTAAATAGTCTCTTTAAAATAATGCATGTTCTGGCATGGTGGCTCACGCCTGTAATCGCAACACTTTGGGAGGCTGAAGCGGCTGGACCACCTGAGGTCAGGAGTTCAAGACCAGCCTGACCCAATATAGTGAAATCCTGTCTCTACTAAAAATACAAAAATTATCTGGGCATGATGGTGCACGCCTATAATTCCAGCTACTTGGGAGGCCGAGGCAGGAGAATCATGTGAACCTGAGAGGTAGAGGTTTCAGTGAGCCGAGATCAATATAAATAAATAAATATAAAATAAAATAAAACATGTTCTCACAATTCAGAAAATACGAAAAAATGCAGGAACATGAAAATAATATGAAATTCTTCAATCCAGAGACACTATTATTAACATGAGTTCATTCAATAGATCACTGTTATGATTGGAGTGTGGTGCCTTGTATAATTCACTTCTCAGGAGGAAGCCCTGGCTAGTTAGCCGGAATTCATTCCAGGACACAGCAGCGGTGCTTGGTGTCCCTCACCCACTTTCCACCTTCCCACGTGGAGCCAACCCTACATGGCAGATTCCCTGCCCTTCCTCCCATCCCCTTGCCAGCGCCTCCACCGCTCCAGTCTAAAGGTGTCTTTTAAACAGATGAGCCCTCTAGTCATAAAATGTACAGGGATCCCTGCAGTGGAAATTGTGGTGCCCTGCCTCGACTACCCTTCAGGACCAAGCTGTGCCCATACCTGCCGAGACTGTGGGTTGCCTCTTGATAACTCACAACTAAATTGCTCTTCAAGAATTGGCTGGACCGGGCGTGGTGGCTCACGCCTCGGTGGCTCACCCGAGGTGGGTGGATCACGAGGTCAAGAGATCGAGACCATCCTGGTCAACAAGGTGAAACCCCGGCTCTTCTAAAAATACAAAAAATTAGCTGGGCACGGTGGCGCATGCCTGTAATCCCAGCACTTTGGGAGGCCGAGGCGGGTGGATCACGAGGTCAAGAGATCGAGACCATCCTGGTCAACATGGTGAAACCCCCGTCTCTACTAAAAATACAAAAAAATTAGCTGGGCATGGTGGCGCGTGCCTGTAATCCCAGCTACTCGGGAGGCTGAGGCAGGAGAATTGCTTGAACCCAGGAGGCGAAGGTTGCGGTGAGCCGAGACCGCTCCATTGCACTCTGGCCTGGGTAACAAGAGCGAAACTCCGTCTCAAAAAAAAAAAAAAAAAAAGAATTGGCCTTAGGCAAAAACAAAACAGGTGTCCGAGGTGTATGCTCCCACCTGCAGGCAGCCATATCCAGTGACTCTTCAACATGAGGACGACAAGGAGCAGCCCCCTTGCCTGGGTTTGGGACAACTGCGAAGGGTCATCTCAGCTTCAAACTCCCTGTGGAATCAACTGGCTGAGGCACAGCCCTTGCTGCATCTGAGGCCGTTTTTACCTCTACTCAATCCTGCTCCTTTTGTTCCATTGTGGAGATATTTCTTGTGCCTATTCCCCAGACCATCTCCACACCAATCTTCCTCTCAGAGAGTTTCCCGGTGAACCTGATGGGAAAGAGTTGGTCTGGGAGTGGGCCCAGGAAGCAGACTCGAAGATGAATTTTGAGATTCTGTCCCTGCCAACAGGGTACCAGTAAAATCCTCCTTACCGGTGGGAGGTGGAGTAGGGCTAGCCCCTGCCGTTCTGTAGGTAAGCAAGTGTTAAAACCTTTCCTTACGGTACAAAAGGACAGAGCGGGAGTAGGAGGAAAGCAACTGGCAGGTGCAGTTTCTCAGGCATTTGAGAGGGTGGGGGAAGTCCTTATGAGAGTGACGGAACTGGATGGCTCTTGATGAGTACAATCCACGCTTTGCAGTAAGACGGCAAACATCATCATTAATTCAGGCCCAGTGTGAAAGCAGGGCTCCCTCTTTGCAGCATGCACAGACTCTCATTTCCTGCAGCAGGGGGCAGAAAAAAATGAGAAGTAGACTAAGGATTGACATGTAAGAGTAGTGGGGCCCCCGACAAGAACCCAGCAAATCTGCTCTGCCAACATCATGGCTGCGTTTGGAAAGATTGCTGACCTAAGATTTGCATGAGGACAGAGAGCTCAAAGCACCTGACAGCTTGCACACCCAGCTTCATCCCTGTTCAGGGTCATTGTTCCTCCCTGGCTTGACAGCTTGAAGACAATGCAGAGCCCATCTCGCCACCTGTCTAGAATTTACCCCCATTTCCTCTGCTGGCCACCAGACGATAATTAGATGGAGTGACAACGTAACCTGCAGAGGAAGTGCCTGGCCCTCTAGGAGAGGAAAGAAATGATGAGTCAGAGGAAAATCATCTGAATTTCAGTCATAAGGAAAGATTAGATAAGTTCAAACATTCTACAGCATAACTGGCCTGAACTCTTTAAAAATCATAAAGTCAAAAAAGATACCAGAAGGCGGAGAAACTCTTCTAGATAAAAGCAATCCGTCGTCTTGGCCTGGGTCCTGGCCCAGACTGGGAAGTGCCTACAGCAGGACCAGTGCACTTTCTGGATGCCGTCTGGAGGACCAAGGTTCTATTCCCCGGCTGAAAGTTTTTGACTTCTCAGTATGAGGACGACAGTTTGCCTGCTCACAGATCATAGTTCACCACGTGCCAAGAATTTGCATTACCCAAGATTACACACCCTTCCCGGGGTAGCCCAGGTCCAAAGATTGGGAGACATGGGGACAAAAGTCCAGCCTCCTTGCTTGAATTTGGGACATCTCTTGGGTTCCATTCTAGCTTCAGAGCTTTCTGTGGCATTGGCTGACCGTCTGATGTGAGTGACTCACGGTTCAGCTTCTCCCTTTGCCAAGTCCTGCCTCCTTCACTCCCTTGAACGTGTTGCTACACCAGCACACCCCAACAGACTGCTTCCCAGTAGCCTGCCATGAAAATGTCCATCTCAGAGTGTGGACCCCAGGAAACCCTGCCTAAGAGACCGACCCAAGGCCAGAGGACCTCCCGCTTCAAAAGAACTGCAACCCTGGCATTTTCCATCTGTCCCCAGTCAAATATTGCAGTGCTTACACTTGAGTATGTACATCATGTGCTTTGGGAGTAGGGGAGGGAATGAAGAAGATAGTGGCTAAGGAGCATTCCAGCAGCCATTCCATTCCATGATGCCATTAGACCCACAGCCACGTGCACCTGCAGTCCGGGACTTTGAGACCAGACTAGGCAACATACTGAGACCCTGTCTCAAAAACATTTTCTTAATTAAAAAAAGCCAAATTTTGGGCAACCATCTAACATAATATTCTCAATGAATTTAAAAAGGTCTCTTTATCAGACACGCAAGACATAGTGTTTAAGGAGAACCTGCCAGGTACTCATTCCGGTAGCGGCCAGCCGGGAGGGAGGAAGTTCTAGGAGACGTGGAGACACATAGAGACCCAAAGTGCAGCTGTGCACCTTGGCTATAAAACAGGGCAGTGAAACCCACCTCCTGAGGCTCATTTGCATCAGGATTACAAGACAGAACGTCTGAGGCAGCACCTCATTTGTTTGCAAATGTTAGTTATAATTATATAGGACAGCCATAAACCTCAAAAACTCTGTAGACCAGGGGGTCTCACTCTGACTCATTGACATAAACTGTCCTTTGGGACAATAATGTATTGAATGTTTGCCTCAAACATGCTTTTCACTTCCCCCCAGATTTTTTTTTATTGTAAATTGATCGTTTATAATTGTACAGTCCAACAGTTTATTTAGAAAATGTCAAACTTACAGAAAAGTTGAAAGAATACAATAAGCATTCATGCACCTTCAACTTACCTGCACCAGTTTTTAATAGTTTCACCACATTATATTATTTTTTCTGAACCATTTGAAAGTAGGCATCATGACAGTTCATTCTAAATATTGCAGCATGCATTTCCTAAGAATAGGAACATTTTCTGTTAGCCCCAGAGGGCTGTCTCACCTGAGAACAGTAACACTCATTTTATAACACCGTCATATACAGTCCAAATTTGAATCTTCGTAAATGACCCAAAAATGTTTTTCAGAGTTTATCTTTTCTTCCTCTGTGATTCAGTGACCCAGGGCTGAATCACATTCTCTGCGGTTGTTACGGCTCCGGCCTCATCTGTCTGTTCCTCCTCATTCTTTGCTTTGTGTTTCATGGTAGTAACTTTGCTTTAACGAGTCTGTCCAGTTGTAGAATATCTCACAGTCCATTTTTTTTCTCATTTGCTTATGATTAGGTTGTAAGGAAACACTGCTGATATAAGTACCTCACAGGGGAATTTGTGACATATTGTATCCTTTTTAAGACCTTACTAAGGTCTTGATTTTGGTTTTAGGTTACAAAAATAATCACTATTAACTTGATAAAAAATGAATTTCTTGGAAGGCTGTTTATTAGAGTGGACTGTAGAACTGAAGGAAGGAGGAGAACCGCCATGCCTCAGGAGGCAGGCCCAGGTCAGGTCTTGGGGTCCCGGAAGCAGGGGTTCAGGGTCCCTTGGGCACTGCCATTGATGTGACGGACACAATGACACCCTGTCTGTCCGGGTCAGGATCACATAGCATAGACACAGCCTCTGGGGAAATGAGATCAGGCAGCCGCTGCCTGCTTTCTATTTAAGAGAGGAGGACATTGACCATCATATGAGGCTTATACAAAAAGGTTTTACTTGGTTTATTATTTGATTTGCCCAGCAGATCAAGAGACAGGAAAGTCTGAAGAATCCCCCAAGCAACAGAGTGTCTCCGAAGTCATAAGATCATTTCATGCGTCTTGTTAGCCTGACTTCCCCAGTCCTCACCCTCTGCCCCCAATTAATTAAATCACCGACATGCCAGTCACCCAAGTCATAAATTTGGGAATCGCCTAAGAATCCTGCTCCCTCTGCCCTCACTTCTGGTAGCTCACTAAGTACTTTCACTTCTGCTTCCCAATAGGGTCACCGTGCTGTTCTCAACCCACCTGCTAGCTCAGTTCCTCATCACCTCTTGCTTGGATCTGTGCTAAAGACTGTGAGCTCAGCCTGCAGGTCACCTCCCCACTGAGCATCGTCCATTTCTTCTTGGCTAATACAATCAAAATTTTGTTCAGGTCGTAATGGGCCCAGCTCAAGGGAATGATTATGGTTGATCTCACCCAAGCTTGGAGATCCCATTTCCGTGTGTGTGTGTGTGTGTGTGTGTGTGTTTGTGTGTGTGTGTTTGAGACAAGGTCTATCTGTGTTGCTCACGCTGGTCTCAAACTCCTGGGCTCAAGTAATCTTCCCACTTCAACCTCCTGAGTAGCTGGTACTACAGGTGCACACCACCACACCCAGCTCCCATCACAGGTCAAAGCACCTTTGTGACTTAGTTCTAACCGACAAGATGTAAGGAAACATTTGTTGGGGATTTGCTAAAGAATATTTTCCTTGCTGAAAAAGAACTATCTTTTCCCACCCTCCCCTTCCATTCTCTGCAATGGAAAACACGATGTGCGGAGCCCAGCAGCCGCTACGCGATCGATGCCGGCCGTGCCGCCACCCACGCTGTTTCCTTGCTGTAGAACACACCTCTTCTCCTGTCTGCCTGGCTGATTTCTGTTCATTCCTCATCTAGGGAGTGTCCCCTACCCACCTGACCGTGTAATCCCTCTCCCGCTCCACTGATCTTTAGGTACTGTCCACCTGTGTGCCAGCCCAGTTACACCTTAAGGTTGGCACATGTCTCCTCTTCTTTGTGAGAAACAGCGTAAGTTGGTTAAGGGCAAGAAGTCTGGCCACAGAGCCCTGGTTTCATTATTTTATTTTACTGAGACAGGGTCTCGCTCGTCACCCAGGCTAGAGGGCAGTGGCACAACCATGGATCACTGCAGCCTTAACCTCCTGGGCTCAAGCAATCCTCGTGCCTCAGCCTCGAGAGTAGCTGGTACTCCTGTGGCTGGGACTATAGGCATGTGCCACCACACCCAGCTAATTTAAAACATTTTTTAAATTTTTTGTAGAGATTGAGTCTCACTATGCTGCCCAGGCTGAGCCTGGGTTTTAAATTCTCATGCCACTGCTTTACTGGTTCCACTGGTCATTCCTTTCAGAGCCTTGATTTTCTCTTTTGAAAAATGGCAATAGATCATTATTATCTAGATGGTAGTGTTATGGGGAATCAATGATCAATGCACGTTAGCTTAGCACAGTGCCTGGTACGCGATAACCTCTCATCATGCATTAATGATCTTTTATTCTTTTTTGTTTTGAAACAGAGTCTCACTCTGTCGCCCAGGCTGGCATGATATCAGCTCACTGCAACCTCCGCCTCCTGAGTTCAAGCGATTCTCCTACCTCAGCCTCCTGAGTAGCTGGGATTACAGGTGCTCACCACCACGCCTGGCTAATTTTTGTACTTTTAATAGAGATGGGTTTCACCATGTTGGCCAGGCCAGTCTTGAACTCCTGATCTTGTGATCCACATGCCTCAGCCTCCCAAGGTGCTGAGATTACAGGCTTAAGCTGTCACGCCTGGCCATGCATACAGTGGTCTTATTATTATTACCGTTTCTGGCACCAACATATAATCAGTCACTTACTAGATGGCTGAGCTCTGATTTGCCTTGGAGATCTTGACTCCAAGTCCAGTGCTCTTTTTTACTGAACTGAAGTTTGTGGCTTTAAAGAGGCACAGGCCTCCTTGTTAGCTGAGGCCCAAGTGGGCTGCTGGTGTTGAATGTGTGGTAACAAATGCACAGGTGCCACCATTCATTTACGCTCAGGTGTCGCTTAGGATCTAGAAACAATTGTCTCAAACCCACAGCGTCACTACATGAACAGGTCCAAAGCCTACTGGGGAGGGAGCAGGGCTATGGTGATATTCTCATTTACTTTTTACTTTAAACTCCACTTTTTTTTTTTTTTGAGACACAGTCTCACTTTGTCTCCAGGCTGGAATGCAGTGGTGTGGTCTTGACTCACTGCAACCTCTGCCTCCCAGGTTTAACCGGTTCTCGCCTCAGCCTCCTGAGTAGCTGGGATTACAGGTGCGCACCACCGTGCTCAGCTAATTTTTGTATCTTTAGTAGGGGCGAGGTTTCACCATGTTGGCCAGGCTGGTCTGATCTCCTGACCTCATGATTCAGCAGCCTCAGCCTCCCAAAGTGTTGGGATTCCGGGGGTGAGCCACCATGCCCAGCTTGTTTTGTTTTTTAAGGAGGCAGGGTCTCGATCTATCACTAGGTTAGAGGGCAGTGGTGTGATCAGGGCTCACTGCAACCTTGAACTCATGGACTCAAGCAATCCTCCTGCCTCAGTCTTCTGAGCAGCTGGGACCACAGGTGCACACCACTGTGACTGGCTAAGTTAAAAAAACTTTTTGTAAAGATGAGGTTTTGCCAATTGCCCAGACAGGTCTTGAACTGCTGGCCTCAAGCAATTCTCTTAAAGTGATGTGATTACAGGTGTGAGCCGCTGTGTTTTTTTAAAACCAATTTCTGGGTGTGATAGAGACTGCTAGTTGTCTCTCATATTTATTCTGTCCTTACAGCACCCTCACTTTTTAGCTGAGCTCAGAGGTGACTCAACTAAAGACTATATTTCTCAGCCTTCCTTTCATGTGTTCAAGAAAAAAAATAAGAGAGTACAGATGGCGCAGTGAGTGGGAAAGTTCTACCCTTGAGCGAGAAACCTGATCTAGCACAGATTCTAGATTCTGGGGATTTGGTTCAAGGGAGGAAAAATGCAGCTGGTTTCTAAAGCCAGGAGACAGAACCGTTTCTGTCTCATGTCAGAAAATCGCAGTGTCTCAATGTTGCATTGGCTGGCAACATTGAGGTTTGCTGGTTAGGTAAGCACTGGGCTGGCTGGAAGCCTTACAGTATATATGAGGGACCTGCTTTGGGACTGTGGCATTGGCAGCCTCTGCTTGAGTTAAGATTATGGTGCTCAGTGAATCTGTATTAGTGGCAGCCGGCTGGGTGGCCAGGTCCTGGTATGTCACAGTTAAGTGTGGCTATGTGTCTAATTCTGGCCAAGGGAAAGCAACGGGGAGCGTCGTGTGCCATTTTTAAAAGGTGTGGCCCTCTCCTTCCTGTTTGGTGGGAATGCAGACAAGATGCTGGGTTCAAGCAGCCCTGGGTCCCTGCGACAGAAGCGGAATGAAGGATGGTAGAATGATACATTTGAGGAAGGCTGGCTCCCTGACGCGTGCAGAGCCACCAAACCAACTCTCGACTGCTTTCCTCAGGACTTGGTTTAGATGAAACAGCAGTGAGCTTCTATCTTGTTGAATCCCATCTTTTTATTTTTTTGAAGACCAAGTCTTGCTGTGTGGCCCAGGCTGGAGTACAGTGGCAGGATCTCAGCTCACTGCAACCTCCACCTCCCATGTTCAAGGGATCTGGGCTCACCGCAACCTCCGCCTCCTGGGTTTAAGCAGTTCTCTCAGCCTCCCAAGTAGCTAGGATTACAGGCGTGTGCCACCATGCCAGCTAATTTTTGTATTTTTAGTAGAGCCTGGGTTTCACCACGTGAGCCAGGCTGATCTCGAACTCCTGACCTCAGGTGATCTGCGTGCCTCAGCCTCCCAAAGTACTAGGATTACAGGTGTGAGCCACCATGCCCGGCCTTGAAGCTCATCTCTGCAGAGCCAGTCCCACATATGTGTTGAGCAGGACAAGATCCACCAATCTGGAAAGGAACCTTGTTTTTAAAGAGGAATTTTCTACCCAGTCACCTCCCTCCCTTCATTCATTCCCTTGTTGAAAAAATGTTAGCTATTGTATACCAACAGTTCCTTTACCTTTACACTTAGGAAAAACGGGAGTTATAGCACAAAAACAGCACAACAAAAACAACAGCAACAGCAACAACAACAAAACCCAGGGGTACTGAAAAGAGCCAGATGCCATTGTCACGAACATCCCAGTTCCTGAGCCTTATGTGGCCTCTGGGAAGCAAAGATTAACTGATTACATGGTTGTCACAACAATCAGCTTACAGTCATGTTTCAGTGCCAATCATAAGCATGGTAGAAAATGAGCTATGTACTGTTTATCTACTGCTTTACTATGGAAACTTGTTTTATTTCTCTTCCCCCCTCCTCCTTTCTTTCTTTCTTTTTTTTTTTTCAGCACCAAATAGGATGGCAGGCAAGTGCAATGATTTCTCCTAGCCTCCTAGGATGCCTTAAAACTTAGGTGCAGATTTTCTTACAATGATTTGGACTCTGGTGTCTTGATGTGGTATCATCAATAAGTAGCAGGATCCTGAAGAGAAACACCTGAAATGGGAAGCTGGACCATAGGCCACGATCAGAATTAAGTTCATGGAAAATAAAGAAATGTTAAAAAAAAGTTATTTAGGTAAGTTTTGGAATAAGATTTGTGCTTGCTACATAACGTCCATTTGTTGAGCACCCTTATTGCAAGCCTGACGTGTTGCTAAAGCACCTTGTAAGGTTATTTTTCTTTTCTTTTTGAGACAGGGTCTGACTTTGTCCCCCAAGCTGGTGTGCTGTGGTACAATACACCCTCAAGCAATCCTCCCACCTCAGCTTCCCAATTGGCTGGGGTTACAGATGCATGCCACCATGACTAATTCTTTTTTTTTGTAGAGACAGGGTCTCCCTGTGTTGCTGAGGCTGGTCTTGAACTCCTGGACTGGAGCAATCCTCCCACCAGGGCCTCCCAAATTGCTGGGATTACAGGTGTGAGCCACCATGCCCAACAGATTATTTTTTAAAATTCTCACAGTGTTATGAGGTAGGTACTACGAAATCTAATTTGCAAGGAAAGCAACTGAGGCCTGGACACACTGAGTGTCTGGCCTGTAGTTACACAGGCAGTAAAGGCAAAGGTAGGCTCTGAACCCAGATCTGTGTGACTCCAAAGTCCCCGCCTCTGTGGAGCGTGCTTGGGACTGTGGGTCAGAAGACCTGAGTTGGGATCCTGGCTTTGCAGGCCTTAGCTCCCGACTCTGGGTATGTTGAGTCTCCCTAGGCTTCAGTATCCCCAACTGACAGCATCACGTCCTCCTGCGCCCATCAGCAGCAGGAGATCATCACCCCATAATGCAGGCATTCTGCTTCTGTTTTTTCCTGTCTTGTGGGCTCCTTGGTGACTGATTCATCTGGGAGAAAACTCTGGGAGGATCTTATTGGGCGACAGAACAGGCAACGTTGGGGAGGCTCTTGCGGGGAGAGAGAGAGGAGACTTAAGGAGAATCATAAACACTGCCCGCCTCTCACCTGCATTGCTGCCCCATCCTGTCTCCATTGGACCACAGCCATTTGTCCCTGGACTGGGTGACTCAGCACTTGCAGGAGAGAACCGACTGAGGCTGAAGTTGCCAGAGGAAACCAAACAATTCTTATTTACCAAACTGTCAAAATCCTATCATTGCAATTAAGGAGATAGGCAATTAACTGTGTCTTAATTACAGCAGCTGCCACTTCTTCTGAATGCCGTAATTTACAGAGAGAATGGGAGGAGACTTTACATTAATGTGTGTCTTTAAACAACGAAAAACATTGATGAGCCTGAAGAAAATTGTCAGCCTGGTGGCAGGGCCCCTCCTGGGAAGAGCCATTGTTACGAAATGTGCTTACAGACGCCACGATTTTCCTCTGCCTTTGTTGCCTAATGGCTGAATTCCTAACAAACCAGAATGACACTCTCACATCCTATTTTATACACAATACAATTTACTGATTCCAATAGCAACACCATCTGTGAAAACCTCTGCAAGTGTCGTCTCAGTCTGTCTTGTTGGTTTAAAAAAAAAAGAAAAAGCTTCAGTTTTAAAAGAAAGGGCTTTATTTTTGAGACAGAGTCTCGCTCTGTCGCCCAGGCTGGAGTGCAGTAGTGTGATCTGGGTTCACTGCAACCCAGTGAAAGTTCCCTCCGCCTCCTGGGTTCAAGCAATTTTCCTGCCCCAGGCTCCCGAGTAGCTGGGATTATAGGCATGTGACACCACACCTGGCTGATTTTTGAATTTTTCATAAGACAAGTTTTGCCGTGTTGGCCAGGCTGGTCTCGAACCCTTGACCTCAGGTGATCTGCCTGCCTGGGCCTCCCAAAATGCTAGGATTACAGCCATGAATCACCACGCTTGGCCCTGAAGTAAATAATTTTAAAATATTAAGTACAGACTCATGGACAGAGAAACAAGGTTTTCCTTTTTTTTTTTTTTAAATGGTGTCTCACTATGTTGCCCAGGCTGGAACAAAGCTTTTAAATTCAGGATTTTAAAGGGTAGTCAGATTTACCTCTGAACAACCAACATTTGTTTTAGACAAATGGGGAAACTGACGGTCAGAGAAATGAAGACACTTGCTCAGGGTCACGGATCACGCTGCTATGTGGCCAAGTTGCTTTCAGGCCCAGAGTTTGCTTTTTCCCCAAGGCTGGTTGGCCACGGGGGATGCAAGGTTGCCCACAGTGAGGGATCCCAAACAGGGGAGAAGACAGCTGTGGCAAATCCAGGAGAAGCAGCCCTTAGAAGCCACCACATGCCAGGTGAGGTGGCTGGCAGGGGAGCGCCCAGACTCAGCTGCAGGTTGGAGCAGTGCGTCAGTCCCTGGGAGGCCCTGAGTGGAGCAGCAGTCACATAATACTTTCAAGTGAGACTGACCAGGCCTCAAACTGCTGCTCCTCCACTCCTCAGCCAGGTGACCTTGGGAAACGTCCTTGTCATCTATGAGCTTCAATAGCATCAATGCTCTTCATTTATGCTGGGGACCAGATCAGCCTTGCACAACTGCCATGAGGATATAAAAGGAGAAGATGTGGCCCAGGGTCTGGAATTGTGGCTGGGATGCTGAAGTCTCCTGGTAAATGTTTGTGCATCCTTCTTCCCCAAAGGAGGCTAGAGAGGGCCTCCAATGTAGGAGGCATTGGGGGTGCTGGGCAGTTACCAGAAAAAGGGCAAATCCAGAAGCTGACACTAAGAACCAGAGCATGCACTGAGGGAGGGAGGCTCAGTCTTAGGAATGAGCTAGATGCTTGGTTATCATGGCCAGGGACCAGACCAAGGCTGGACAACAGATATCACAGGCTTTGTGTTGAGTTCCCGAGAGCTGGGTTCAAGGCTGTCACATCCTCCTTCCAGATCTGAACCGCAGACCCTGACCCAGCGACGGGTGAACAAATCCGTCGGACACAGACATCCAGAGAAAGTGCGGGCTAGGCGTCCGGGCCGCTCACAGACACCGACATCCAGAGAAAGTGCGGGCTAGGGGTCCGGGCTGATCACAGACACAGACATCCAGAGAAAGTGCGGGCTAGGGGTCCGGGCCGATCACAGACACAGACATCCAGAGAAAGTGCGGGCTAGGGGTCCGGGCCGATCACAGACACAGACATCCAGAGAAAGTGCGGGCTAGGGGTCCGGGCCGATCACAGACACAGACATCCAGAGAAAGTGCGGGCTAGGGGTCCGGGCCGCTCACAGACACAGACATCCAGAGAAAGTGCGGGCTAGGCGTCCGGGCCGCTCACAGACACAGACATCCAGAGAAAGTGCGGGCTAGGGGTCCGGGCCGTTCACAGACACAGACATCCAGAGAAAGTGCGGGCTAGGGGTCCGGGCCGCTCACAGACACAGACATCCAGAGCAAGTGCGGGCTAGGGGTCCGGGCCGTTCACAGACACAGACATCCAGAGAAAGTGCGGGCTAGGGGTCCGGGCCGCTCACAGACACAGACATCCAGAGCAAGTGCGGGCTAGGGGTCCGGGCTGTTCACAGACACAGACATCCAGAGAAGTGCGGGCTAGGGGTCCGGGCCGCTCACAGACACAGACATCCAGAGCAAGTGCGGGCTAGGGGTCCGGGCCGTTCACAGACACAGACATCCAGAGAAAGTGCGGGCTAGGGGTCCGGGCCGCTCACAGACACAGACATCCAGAGAAAGTGCGGGCTAGGGGTCCGGGCCGCTCAGACACTGACATCCAGAGAAAGTGCGGGCTAGGGGTCCGGGCCGCTCACAGACACAGACATCCAGAGAAAGTGCGGGCTAGGGGTCCGGGCCGCTCAGACACTGACATCCAGAGAAAGTGCGGGCTAGGCGTCCGGGCCGCTCACAGACACAGACATCCAGAGAAAGTGCAGGCTAGGGGTCCGGGCCGTTCACAGACACAGACATCCAGAGAAAGTGCAGGCTAGGGGTCCGGGCCGTTCACAGACACAGACATCCAGAGAAAGTGCGGGCTAGGGGTCCGGGCCGCTCACAGACACAGACATCCAGAGCAAGTGCGGGCTAGGGGTCCGGGCTGTTCACAGACACAGACATCCAGAGAAAGTGCGGGCTAGGGGTCCGGGCCGCTCACAGACACAGACATCCAGAGCAAGTGCGGGCTAGGGGTCCGGGCCGTTCACAGACACAGACATCCAGAGAAAGTGCGGGCTAGGGGTCCGGGCCGCTCACAGACACAGACATCCAGAGAAAGTGCGGGCTAGGGGTCCGGGCCGCTCAGACACTGACATCCAGAGAAAGTGCGGGCTAGGGGTCCGGGCCGCTCACAGACACAGACATCCAGAGAAAGTGCGGGCTAGGGGTCCGGGCCGCTCAGACACTGAGGACGTGCTGTAAAGAGTCAGCAGCCCTGGCTCTCTCGGCTGGCACTGCAGGCCTTTGTTCAGAATAGATTTAATGGCAAAGGCTTTCAGTACATACACCTGTGGATGATTAACATGGCCGCCCTCCCTGGAGAGAGCAGTCCTACAGGTGACTGAAGGCCAGGTTCCAAGGCCTAAGCAAACTAACTTACCTAGATCAGTTTCTCTGCTTCCCCTAGTTACCTACCTTAAGCTTTCAGGCACCGGATAAGAGAATCTGGATGCCTTCAGCCAAATCCTATTCTGAGGCTTTTGTAAGAACTTCCGGGCTTCCAAGAAGAGTTGTGTCCATTTTACAATTTTTCCCACCACCCTGACTGGACTTCTCCATCCTCTGGCTTTGGATCAGAATGAATCCTAGGACCTGTGCATGAGACTAAGTGGCTGAGCTGAGACTAAATGGGTGGGCTCTAACACCCAGAATGTTGAGGTGGCCCCAGGCCCAGGCTTCCTCTTGGCAGGCCCTATCTGCTCAGTGCTTGGATGTACTGTTCTGGCAGCCTGCAGAGAAATGAAAACTGCCTTGACCGGGGGGCTAAGTGAGGGCATGGTGCTGTGCCCACAGACACCTCCCCTTAGGCCGGTTCATCTGGGAGGCAGCCTGCAGAGAAATGAAAACTGCCTTGACCGGGGGGCTAAGTGAGGGCATGGTGCTGTGCCCACAGACACCTCCCCTTAGGCCGGTTCATCTGGGAGGCAGCCTGCAGAGAAATGAAAACTGCCTTGACCGGGGGGCTAAGTGAGGGCATGGTGCTGTGCCCACAGACACCTCCCCTTAGGCCGGTTCATCTGGGAGGCAGCGTCTCTTCTCTTGTCTGAGTGAACTTTGATTTCTCTTCTGGAGACTCAGAGTTTTCAACACAATTCATTAGTTTAGAGATACAATTGTATCAAAGTGGCTGGGCACAGTGGCTCATACTTTAATCCTAGCGCTTTGGGAGACTCGTGGGAGGATTGACTTCAGCCAGGAGTTCGAGGGCAACAAAAATAAACAAACTAGCTGGGCATCGTGGCACATCCCTGTAGTCCCAGCTACTCCGGAAGCTACGGTGGGAGGATCCCCTGAGCCCAGGAGTTGGAGGCTGTAGTGACCTATGATGGCACCACTGCACTCCAGCCTGGATGACAGAGTGAGACCAAAATGAAAACAAAAACCAGAAAAAAAAAAGTCACATGGAAGTAAAGTGCATGCCTGCAATTACCTTCACAAGAGGGTTGAATGTAACCTGAGAGTTGCCTGGTAACCACTGCAGAACAGACAGGGCCAGCCCCAGCAAGGGAGCCTCCCTCCTGACCTCCCGGCCCTTCTCTTCACCCCTCTGAGCCAAGTCAGCGTCCAGGAAGGAAGCAGTCCTTTGTCATCTGGATCCTGGTGGAATCTCCCAGGGGAGCCAGAACGTCAGCATC